TGAAAGGATCCGACACAGCTAGAATTCTGAGAGTCCCCCCCCCCGCAAAGAATCCCAAGGCAGCACGCACCATGGCCCAGGGAGGGGGAAGGACAGGGCCCCTCGCGCCGGTCACTCCCACGCAGGCGTGCGGAAGGAGGCCAGGGGCTCCCGTGTGCTGGTCTGGGAGGGCATGGAGTGGGCTGAGGCGGCCTCTGGGCGTCACTAAGAAGGACACGGGCGGCCGAACGCTTGGGCTCCTGGTCTTCCTCTCTCCTCCTGTTCTCGCCCTTCCCTTTCCCTGTGCACCCCGCCCCAGGTGCTCTCCTCTAAACCGACCTTCACCGGAAGTCAGGGTGATGCTGCGTTTGGTCTGAGTGGCCGCAGGGATGAGCCCCACCTTGGATAACTGCAGAGAATGGACTTTCACTGTCAGGTTCATGTGTCACTTTGGCTGGGCTAGGGGTGCCCAGATATTTGCTTAAAGATGACTCTAGTTATGTATGCAAGGGTGAGGTCGAGTGTGTGGGCATCGGGCTGCAGAGCTGGGTGGAACGAAAGGCAGAGGAAGGAGAATCCACTCCCTGACTTCTTGACCCGGGCCATGGGGCTTCTCCTGCCCTGGGACGGTGCCCCTGGGTCTCCGGCTTGCAGACGGCAGGTTGTGGGACTTCCTGGCCTCTGCTATCACAAGGACCAACTCCTTACAGTACATCTCACGGCATGTATCTATAGCTGTCTGTCTGTCCTGCTGGTTCTGTTTCTCTGGAGAACTCTGAGTGACACAGGATGTGCAACTGGGAAAGGAGAAAACCCCAGACAAGTGGAGAGGGGATCTCACACCCGCGGGACTGCAGGGGTGCATGGTGGAGTCCCCGGGTCGCTCTGTCTTTCCTGGCTGCTGTCTTGAATTCCAGATGGCCTCCTTTGCACACGACATGCTCAGAGCTGTTTACAAGGCAGTTTAGACCGCCATGGGCTGGAGCGCATAGGGAGGGCAGCGCCCGCCTCTCCCTGGACCCGCAGCAGGTTCAAGTCCCCTACCTGGTCGACCCCTGTCACGGTGTAGGCGTGACCTTTAATGAGCCCAAAAGGCGTCCGGGCTTCAGTTTCTGCAGCATTTCTGACCTGAAATACAAGGACAACGTCGGACCTGCTGTCATAGGAAGTGAAAAAAGAAGTCTCGGAAGGAAGAGTCTGTGTTAGTAAAATCGAAGCCGCCCAGTGTCGGTGTGCGGATTTGCATGTCAGTTAGACGAGCTGTGAGGGTGCAGGCCAGCTGTCCAGCTTGGTGGGCCTCCAGGAGGAGGCAGCACCAAATGGGAGGAGGGAGCGGCATGCATGGCTTTGGCGGCTCAGGCTTGTCCCCCTGATACGGCAGATAAGGCTTCCCTTTCTAGTTCAGAACCATTAAGCAAAATCTTGTGCTGGCATCCCTGAGTCCCCTCCCCGGGGGGGCTTACCCTCCCCACCTCCGGGCCAGGCCCAGCTGTCTCCGGTGGAGCACTCACATCAATGGAGCAGCCCAGCAGGGAGCCCCTCTTCAAGGCCTTCTCTAGAAGTTCGTAGAAGTTCTCTGGGGCCTCCTTCGTGAGGAAGGTCTCTGCCACACCCCCGGTGAAGTCTTCCATGGCCTCGATGGCGCTGCCTCCCTTCAGGGCTTCGTAGCTTCCGTTCAGCCTGCAAGGACAGGGAGGGCTGAGCTGCGGCTGCGGCAGGGGCCACCAGGGGGCGCCCCGTCAGAGCTTCTCTAACCGTCCATCTGGCTCGCCCTTGCTGGGTGGTGGGGGAGGAAGGCGGGAAGCAGGACGAGGGTTTGCCTGGACCGCAGAGGAAGCAGAGGCCCCCAGTGGAAGGCAGCGTGTCTGACGGAGTTCGGGTTAGAGTTTGCAGGCGGAGTCCCAGCTCTACCACGAGCCGGCTAAGTTCTGGGGCTGAGGCCGCACTTGGTGTCTTGGTGTCTTATCTGCAAATGGGGGTGACCGCTGTGTGCTGCCGTGGGGGTCTTAGGGAGCGTGCCTCCCTCTCCGAGCGCACCTGGAGTGGAGGCTGACCATGACGTCAGCGCTTCTGTGGACCACGAGCTCCGAGGACTTCTGGCCTCCTCCCTGGTGCCCGTCCCTGTCACTTCGGTCCCCTCTTATTAATACGTGGCACACTCACTCCCTTCCCCTGGCTTTCCCACAGACGTTTCCGTTCAGAGCGGGCGTAGGTTTGTGGAGAGGCTCCGTAGCTGGGGCGCTCTCACGTCCCCCACCAGCGCCGCTCACGTGGCACGCTCACCCGGGACGGCCGCCAGCCAAGTCCACGTTTACTCCGATGGCCTTAGGTTTAACCTCGTGTCCTCGTCCTGTCCCCAGGTCCCATCCAGGACACCACAGGCCACTGGGTCCTCCTGTCTCCTTGGGGTCCTCCTGGCTGTGGCAGTCTCTCAGACTTGCCCTGGTTTCGGGCCCTCTGGCTTCTGGCCAGGAGTGTTCGGACTGTAGGGTGTAGGCCCTCATGTCACTGGAACTTGCCCAATGTTCTGCGCGCAGTAAGACGAGGGCTGGGCTGGCCCCGAAACCTACGTGGCTCAAGTCCTGTCCCCAGTGGCTTAGGGGAACATGCTGGATGTGTGGGTGTGTGCCTGAAGTCCTGACAGGATGGTGACATGGGGAGGGACTGTGGCATGAGCGTGGCTGTTTTCTCCCTCTCTCGCTCTGTCTCTGGGAAGTGCACGTGCTCTCTGGTAATTACTGGGCTGTCGGGAAAGTCCTGAGTATTTGCCTGTGTTTTTTTATGCAAAAACGCATCGTGACTTTCCTGATGACCCAATTTTAAAACAACAACAACTAGGGTCGTGGGTGTGCAGGCACACGGCCACAGAGGTAAGGTCCTTTCTCACCGCGTCGTACCAAGGGCATACGCTGCCCACGTGGCTTACCACGCTGACGTCGGCCTTGACCCCTGGCTGCGGGCTGATTGTCAGGTGTCTCCACTGAAAGCGCCCCCCTTCCACGCTGTCCCCTCTGGACCTTCTCTATGCAGGGTTTGTGTGGACGGAGTTTGTACCTAACCCGTTTTGGAGTACATGCCAAGGAGTGCAGTTGCTGGATTGCGTTGTCAACTGCATCTGGTTTGGTAAGAAACTGCCAACTTGCTCCCCACATGAACAGACCACCTCGCACCCCGTCAGCAGTCAGGGCACGACCACACCCCTGCACCGCGCCCCCACCCCCGTCGTCCGTACGGTAGGTGGCAGTGCTGCTCCGGCCAGTGACAGCTGACCGTGTGTGCTGTCTGTCTTAGGGTCCTCGGAGAACCAGACCCAGCAGATTTAGACAGAGGCGGACAGAGGAGACGGACGTCTGGAAAAGGATCGGTAATATGGGATTGGCTGGCATGCTTTTGGGGGCCCGGAACCTTCACGATCTCCCGTCTGTTACCTGGAGGGCCAGGAAAGCAAGTCAGAGGCCAAAGCCCTGAGAACCGGGGCTCGTGGGGGTCTTAGTCCCAGATCCGAGGCCTGAGAAGCAAGAGCGCGGATGTGCGAGGCCGACTGCGACGTCCCAGCTCCAGCAGAGAGAGCCGATTCACCTTCCGTGTCACCGTCCTCTCTGGATTGCACGGTACTCCCTGCACTGCTGAGGGCACTAGGCTTTGCTAGCTGCTGATTCGAATGTCACTCTTCCAGAAATATCCTCACAGACACGTCCAGAACTGACGGCTCATGGCTGCCTGGCCGCTCCTTAGCCAATGGAGCTGACACATAAACGTAACCAGCACACCGTCTGTACATCTCAGGTGAGACGTTCTCCAACCATTCCTGGACTCCCGTAAGGCTCTCAGAGTCCAGGTTTTCTCTGCTGCTATTTAGAATGAGTGCTTTCCTTTGTGTCTAGATACTAGACCATGCGTGGCTTCTCTCGCGTTCCTCGTGGGCTGGTGAGGGGGGACTCACGGCAGGCAGAGCTGTGCTGGGCCCTGCCCACTACACCTGGAAGAGTGTCCCCGTAAGCCTGCCAGGTGGCAGCAAGGGTGTCTGCACCGGCCGTGGAGGGCCGGGAGAGGAGGGCTGCTCTGGTCTGCTCTGATGGCTGACGTGTCCTGCCGACGTCAGGATGAAGTAATAACTGCACGGCGCCTTCCCTTCATTTGGCCTCTCTGTGCCCCACTCGGAGGCAGAAACCGGAACAGTCCTGCTCCTGCCTCTGAGGATAGGAACCTGAGGCTCAGAGATCTAGGCTGCACCCAAGCGCGGCTCCAGGAGCTCGTGGCCCCCCTGAGCATGGAGCTGAGGCTGCTGTGGGCCGCCAGCAGGCTGGTGGGCTAGCAGTCGGGGACCCGAGGGCCCTGCGGCCCTGGGGTTGGGCCCTGCTCCTGCCTCTGAGGACAGGAGCCTGAGGCTCAGAGATCTAGGCTGCAGCCAAGCGTGGCTCCAGGAGCTCGTGGCCCCCCTGAGCATGGAGCTGAGGCTGCTGTGGGCCGCCAGCAGGCTGGTGGGCTAGCAGTCGGGGACCCGAGGGCCCTGTGGCCCTGGGGTTGGGGGTTAGAAACGGAAGTCTCGTTCTGCTTAGATGAGGCTCCTAGAATCGTCCAATCA